ATGAATAAAAGACGTTTCCATAAAAAGAAATTTGAGGATAAATATGAGATACATTAATATCTCTCCTCTGATGGGAGAATTGACTGATCTTTGTCTTACTATGAACATTTAACCCAAGGATTTATCTATTAGCCAATAGTGTAGTCATTTTTAAACATAATCCTTTTGACTACAGACTAAGTTATAGTATTTTGATTTTAGTTCTTTAACTTTATGCCTGCCATATCACTGTCCAGTTGCTAACATTTTCCAAAGTGGGATTTTAATAGGCAACATTGTGATTTTTGTAAGTGCAATTTTGCAAGTAACTACGCACACGAAGTCTACTGACTGCACAAGCAGACAACATTGCACCCCCAAAAAATATAAGCTTGCTTCTGTCAATCATATCCCTCCAAGGAAAACAGCACTTAACCAAAAAAAGCACATCAGCAAAGATCTGCAAGGCCAAACCGAAAATTGCCTTGGTATTCCATATGCAAGATTCTGCGTGAAAAAAATATCAGAACCCTCTGAAGGATTTCGGAGAATATGAGCACAGTACTGAGTGTAGGCCTCCCTAGTTCTGGACAGGTAAATCATTTGTGTAGATGAAGACTTTACATGGCAGATGAAGTAAGTGTGTCAAACTAGGCTCCTGCATGAGAAAAAAGCGCTCTTTGCATACACAGTAAGTCTGATGTTTGGGATACACTTCTAGGCAGACAATAGCCTTGGAACTCCAAAAGCAGCCAGTTGCAGAGGAGACATACCTGCTCTGCTTTCCCAGGAGAAGAGTGCCCATAGCCAACTGGTGCCTCAATTGGAACTGCATGCTAATTGAAGACTCGGGTCTGTTAGTCTACTGGTGTCCTATGGCCATATATTTATCCCATTATTAAGAGTTTCCCTGTAAAAAGAGTTGTATTCTAGGGACATGATATTAGCAAAGAAGAGGGGGGAGGGGCATAGTGGAGAACTTCTTGCTTCAAACTGTATGGAAGTGCAGGTGAGCACTGCAAGTGAACCGTTCTGGTTTTGGTTTGGTTTTTTTTTTTTCCCCCATTTACTTCAAATGGCACTGCTCATGCATGTAAGGCCTTGCTCAAGGAAATCGGGAGAGGCAGGTTCAACTAGCCTCCAGGCAATGTAAGGACACAAGAGGGGATTCCACACTACTTAACATTAGGCATGTGATTCAGATGCCTAAAATAACAAGAAGTCTCTTCAAAGTCCCTCATTGGTCAGTAGAGAAAAAGAGTTGCCTGAGTCAGAAACTGACATACCATTTAAATGGCCTCTGGGGAAGATTACCTGTCCGACTATAGAAGGAACCTGGAAACGGCAGCCCCTTAATTTAGGCATCAGACGCCTTAATCTAGGTGATGCAAATACTCTTCCCCCTCCAGCCTTATAACATCAAGGCACTGCTTCTGTTAGTTGTTGACTTTTATCCTATCAGCTATTATAATCTGTCTGCTGCCTTGTGAGGTTAATAGACACAGACAGACTAAAGAAAAGACTAAAAGCTATCCTCACAGTATACTTTCTTGCTTGGAAATAACATTTTTCCTTTCTTTTGTACTTTTCCACTGCGCTAAAGTGAGAGCATCTTTTTAATATTAAAGCATAAATTAGTTCAGTGTGATACAAATCCTGCTGTAATTGTGATATTTCTACTGCTGTGTTTTATTTTAAATTCTTGTCTTGTTGGAATTATGTTTCTTTCTGTTTTCATGTTAATGCAGCAAAATGAATAAAACCTGTGTCTGAAAAACAATGTATACCTGGTAGCCCATGTTCTCCTCTGTACGCAAAAGGGCATCAGCTCTGCTCTCAGAATGGAGGTGGCAAAAAGATGTAACCGTGGATTTAAACACCCACAATACTGCACTCCAGCAAAAGAAACCAAACTGATCAAGCAGAAAACTGTCCGCCCAGTCCAGAAGCTATTGTAGCTGGCACAGCTTTTATCCACCCGCAAGCTTGAGAAGACTGCATTATAACAGCTTTGGGAAAAGTCTGGGGCCACAGATTTTAGATGGATGAAATTTGGAGAAACAGGATTGCATATGTTATAAATAGGGGAAGAGAAGAAATAAAGGAGGGCAATAAAAGATGACACTCTATTAATATTGGGATAAAGAAAGGATTCTCCATAGACTTTCTGCAGCTAATATCAGATCCCCTTGCACTGCATAGAGTGACCCCAGCAAAGTGGTGTGCCTGATCTCCCAAGTTTTATGCGAAGGAACTTTAAGCACCCAAAGTTCAATATGGAAATATGCTTCTGCTTCACCATGTCATTCTGCCCGTTCCCCTGTACCAATTCCTTTTTTCAGCCTAGGACCTACACGTCCTCCTCTCCCCTGCACACTCTTTTCATCTGTCCACCATGGGATAGGCTAAATTCTATATCCACTGCCTTTGTTTTCTGATTTTCATTTTCTATTTTGTGCTGGCAGGAACACAAACAAACTAAACCTAAAGATTAGCTTATTGTTATGTTATGTGCCCAGGCAGGATAACCCTTGGTCATTCATTGTAGCTTTGCACTGAGACAAGCAAGGCTCTGGATAGTTTTGTGGCAGATTTTGAGTCTTAGTCAGATGTGGCTGCAGCATGGTGTAGCTAGAGGCCAGGTAGCTGCAAATCAGCTAGTAGGAATTCAGGCAGTCTGGTCACAATGGGATGGAGCTACCCATGAGGAAGGTTTAACAAGATCCCCAGTCCCTATGGAAGAGAACACAACTCACCTCGGGAGAGAAGGGGGGGGAAATTTTATGTACAGGAGACAAATATTCGGTAACTCAAGCTCAGCAGGGAAAAGCATTGTGATGAAGTCACAGTGTGTATGTAAGTACTAGAAAAGCAGGCAGATATACAGAAACTGTGTGATGAACTAGAGGTATGTTAAGAAAATAACAAGGCTCACCAGGATTGTAATCACAGCAGGGAAGAAGCTAACACAAGAAAGAACCACTGCAGTGCTCAGGAAGCCGCTTTGGTGAGATATTGAGGAAACAAAAGCAAGCATTTGAGAAAGTGTACCAGTAGCGCTACAACACCAAAAAGATTCAAGACAGGACCTCTGTGAACACTACAAGTATATTGTTGCTTTACAACAAATGTTGAACAGCTAAGTGAAAATCGTTACAAGTTCAAAACTTTTGGCACTGAACTTCTGAAGAGATAATGTGTTGATTGGGCTTTCAGCAGGCTTATAAAAGGAATGACTAGGTGCCATGGACAAATATCTATGCACAGCCCCGAAACCAATCAAACAGTTTAGTTTATGCACACAACAGGATGAAGTCCGACTGTCCTGTTAGGAGATGCTACTGTCACATGTTCAGAAGCATGTGGGGAGAAATGCCCTGCGCAGCAAAAGATAACTCTGCCGGCTGTGAGGCAGATGTCCAAAAGATGTGGCAAAAGTGCATATACGGTATTGGTGAGTGCTAAGTAGTACTCACAACCAACCACCAGATTTACAATCACTGCCATTGTGTGAGTGCTAAGTAGTACTCACAACCAAGATTTACAACCAAGTGAGTAGTACTCACTCACCAGATTTACAATCACTGCCATTGGTTTTTCTGTGGCAAGTATAAAATGAACAAACATAGAAACAGTGAAACTTCTGGTAACCAGTGCATAGGGATGTTCCTGTCATAAGACGTTTTTGTTTGTCAAACCAACTGTGATATTATGTATACGTATTTTAGATAAGATAAAGGTAAATGGAGTAAAAGGACTATAAAGTATAAGAATAAAGTATAAAGATAAATAGGAACAAGTAGTGGCAAAAAAATGAGAGAATTACTTTATTACCTTTAACAGAGTCTAATACAATAATAGCCAGAGTAATGCAAAGATCAGAGAGAAATACTTTTAGCAGAATGTTAAAAGATCCAGGTGAGTAAGAGAGACTTACAGGCCAAAAAAAAAGGATGTTTGTCTAGAAATAAGGGGTGAAGGCATTGCTTTGTACCCATATTCTGGCAACACTCGCCTATTGGGAGCTGTACTTCATTCAGAAAATGGAATGGTAGAGAAAAGAAATGTTGTGTAAGTCTGTACAACTGCCAAGCAGTTTTATAAAACCTGTGACTCTTGGTTTGAGTGTTTTAAGTCTGAAATGACTGATCCTGGGAAGGTGGGGCCACAACACTGAACTGGAGGAGGGCAGCATTATCAGATATGCAGGCCAATGTGCAAAACTGCACAAACTTTCAAGTGATGATCAGCTTCCCAGAACTGTCTACAACATTGTGCCAGTAGGAAACTAACCGTACCACACTAACAAAACTTATCCTGATACCAGACTTTTTGAATGGAATGGAAACCAAGTGGATGGAATTGAAGGAGCCATTTGGACATAACTTGCAGGTATGCTACCATGAGGTATGGACAATTAGACTACATCTAATCTTTGGCATCCAAAAGTACTTTCTGGTTCC